AAATATGTTTGAAAGGATTCGCAACATTGCCTCGTCTGCACTTGTCGGCTGCCGCTACAACGGCGTCGAACTCCTGCGCAACCATCATCCCGCGCCGTCGCATGCCATTGCTGGAACGTGCCTCGGGGCTGCCATTGGCGAGGGCGTCGCAGCCGCACGCGGTCGTTTGCGTCGCCCCCCCTGCCGCGCACGATGGCATCGTAGACGCAGCACGCCACGTAGAGCGTAGCGCTGGCGGCAAGAAGCCCGCGCGCACTGGAGGCGTCGCCGACGCCGCCGAGCGCGCCCATCGACGACAGCACGGGAGGTGCACCACTGCCTCGATGGAAATACAACTCAGCAAAAGAAACCACTTTGAAAAGTCGCACGTCCTCGTTGGATACCAGAGCGCGCCGCTGCCCATCAAGCAGTAGCTCGCACCGCCCGCCATCCGCAACGCAGCAAACCTCGCCGCAGTGCATCACCAGCGCGTTTTGGAAGTGGGAATTTGCATGCACTATGCATCACCCGCCCCGCCACGTATGAGCTCGCGGAACTGGCGCGCATGCGCGCTGGAACTGCTTGGGCACGCCGTTCCCGTCCTGGCGGGAGACACTAAACATTGACATACACGCGCAAGTTCGCGGCCATCGCGCGTGCAAACGCACATTCGCACGCGCGCGATCAACAATGACATGGGCACATCGTCACCCGACCTACATTCGACCTGTGGCTGCGCAGATCTGAAGCCACCAGGCGTTGAGAAAACTGCGGTCACCTCTACGTGCGCCTCTCTCTTCTATGCGTCTCTGTTTCAACGTTCCTGCGCCATCCCTCGTTGCATCGCCCTCCGTCGTTCCTGCTGTCGCTCATGGTTGCATTATCTGTATCTCTCTCCCTCTTTCTCTCGCTCAATGATCTCTCTCGCTGCTTCTCTCTCTCTCTCTCTCTCTCCCTCCCTCTCTTTCTCTCTCTCTCTCTCTCTCTCTCTCTCTCTCTCTCTCTCTCTCTCTACCCGCATGGCCCACCTTGCCCCCGCGGCAGTTCTATGTCTCTTGAAACCGCGTCCTGCATCTCAACCTCCATTTCTAAATCTATAGCCTTCCATCCCTTTTCCGTCCCTCTAGCCATCTCTCTCCCTCCCCGCCGCCCCTGCCGTCCTTCAAAATCCAGAGCGGGCCGCCCCTGCGCGCGTCGGCGGGGAAGCCGTAATTCTGAAAGCAAGTCGGAAGGCACATGTCGGTGAGCTCAGATGCCCCCGAAGCGCTGCTCCGAGACGAGTTGCTTCCTGCGCCGCCCTCCGCATCTAGAGACTGGAAGACGTCCATCGTGAAAGGCACTCCCGCGCGTTGGCCAGCGCGGCCCAGGCTGGCGCGCACGGCGCCCAGCGAATCCTGGGGGACGCGAAGGACTGCCCCGTCGAACATGTAAGTCATGACGGAGGCGCCCCCTATGCCGGACATCGTGGAATACTCGACCTGTTGACGGATCAAGTCCTCTTCGCTGGCAAGAGCGAAATGTAGGCGCGCAGCAACTGGGTGGCGTCTTGATGCGAACATGCCGTTCAAATACTTGAACTTTTCCGACCCCAACACGATGTCGACAGCCTGTTTAATTTGCGCTGGCAGCGCCCAGGGGAAAGGCAGGTCGCTCTTGGGGACGGACAGATGCAGCATAGCAATCAGCATCTCCTTGGCAGCCTTCAGCGGGGTGCCCAAGTACCCCGCCAACGCGGCACGCCACGCCTGGTAATGGCAGACGAACGCGTGCAGCACGTCGAAGCCAGCCCGCGCAACTTCCCCGATGCACTCGAGGAGTTCTTTCCAAAGCAGTGTCGGGAAGCAGTTGACAATGTCAACGTCCACGTAGACGGGGCCAGCGCCCACCAAATCCGCAAGGTCATGCTGAAACGCAGCCCTGCGAGCAGCTCGCGACAACTGCTGTGCGCTCGGGCAATTAGCGTACCGCCGCCCAGGAATGCCGTGCTCCTTCTCATATCCCTATTGGCTTCCGCTTGGCTCCGTGTCGATGGAGTCCTTTTGTCGCAAAGTTTCACATGTATTCCTTTGGTGGCGGATTACACTTGGATTCCTGTTGTAAAGGAATACAACCTGATTCCCTTTGCAGAGGATTGCAATAGGATTCCTTATGTGGCGGATCCCTTGTGTGGGTGATTCCAAAGGGATTCCTTTTGTGGCGGCGCTGGGGGAGCGAGGGGGCAGAAACCAACAAAAACAGGAAAATCCGTCAAAACCAAAGGAACAACATGAAAATCAAAGCACCAAGGCAAACCAAACAACGAAAACAAAGTACCGAATGGTTTTCGGATGGGAAGCATGGGAAAAAAAACATTATGTTGTCTTTGGTTTCCTCACGCAAACCAATCGGGGCTTTCATTTCGTTGATTTGTTTGCATTGGTGCTCTGATTTTCCTGTGTTTCCTTTGGTTTTGACTGATGTTCCTGTTTTTGTTGGTTTCTGCTCCCCGCGCCCCCTCTGGGGGTGTGGTGGAGGCGGCGCTGGGGGAGCGAGGGCGACGAAAACCAACAAAAACAGGAAAATCAGTCAAAACCAAAGGAACAACATAAACATCAAATCACCAAGGCAAAACAAAACAACGAAATCAAAATACCGAATGGTTTTCGGATGGGAAGCATTGAAAAAAAACAGTAGGTTTCCTTTGGGTTTCCGCAAAAAAAAACCAGTCGGGGATTGGATTTCGTTGATTTTTTCCATGGATGCTTTGAGTGTCATGTTTTTCTGCTGGTGTTGACTGAGTTTCCTGTTTTTGTTTGTTTCTGCTCTCTCGCGCCCCCCCTGGGGGGGTGGTGGAGGCGGCGCTGGGGGAGCGAGGGCGCCGAAAACCAATAAAAACAGGAAATCATTCAAAACCAAATCAAAGCACCAAGGCAAAAAAACAACGAAATCAAGGCCCCGAATGGTTTTCAGATGGGAAGCATTGAAAAACAGTAGGTTTTCTTTGGTTTTCTGCCAAAAAACCAGTCGGGGCTTGGATTTCGTTGATTTGTGTTGCCTGGGTGCTCTGATGTTCATGGTTTTCCTTTGGTTTTGATTGATTGTCATGTTTTTGTTGGCTTCTGCTCCCCGCGCCCTCTCTGGGGGTGAGGTAGAGGCGGCGCTGGGAGGGCCAGGGAGCAGAAAACCAACAAAAACAGCAAAATCAGTCAACACCTAAGGAAAAACCAGGAAAATCAAAGCCCCAAGCAAAAAAAAACAACGAAATCAATGCCCCGAGTGGTTTTCAGACAGGAAACATTGAACAACCTTAGGTTTCCTTTGGTTTTTCACTTAAAAACAGATCAGGGCCTTGATTTCGTTGATTTTTGTTGCCTGGGTTCTGATTTTCTTTATTTTTCTTGAGGTTTTGACTGATTTCACTGTTTTTGTTGGTTTCTGCTCCCCGGGCCCTCTCTGGGGGTGAGGTGGAGGCGGCGCTGGGAGGGCCAGGCGCCCCGAGAGAGAAAGAGAAAGAAAGATATTGATATGGACGGTCATGTAAGTGAAAAACAAAACATGTCAAGGTTTTAATTGACAAAAGCATAAGAAAACCACGTCGTAAAATGGGACCACTTTTCGGCCTTACGGGGGGGGGGGGGACGCACGCGGGCGGTCCCGCTGGGTGCTTCGGTGGAGCTCCCTATGGGGCCACGAAGCGCTGTACTGTGTGGGTGAAACATACAGAATTGGGTGTGTGGGACGCATGCGGGCGGTGGAATTGGGGCCTTCGGTGGACCTCCCTATGGGGCCGCGAAGCCCTGTACTGGGTGGGTGAAAATGCCAAATTGGGTGTGGGGGGCACGAAGCGCTGTACGGGGTGGGTGAAAGTGCAAAATTGAATGTGTGGGACGCATGCGGGCGGGCGGTCCCGCTGGAGGCTTCGGTGGAGCTCCCTATGTGGCCACGAAGCGCTGTACTGGGTGGGTGAAACGCAAGGGGGAGGGAGGAAGGGGCCACGAAACGCTGTACTGGGTGTGTGTGTGTGTGTGTGTGTGTGTGTGTGTGTGTGTGTGTGTGTGTGTGTGTGTGTGTGTGTGTGTGTGTGTGTGTGTGTGTGTGTGTGTGTGTGTGGGACGCATGCGGGCGGTCCCATTGGGGGCTTCGGTGGAGTTCCCTATGGGGCCACAAAATGCTGTACGGGGTGGGTGAAACGCAGGGATGAGGGAGGAGGGTGAGGAGGAGGAGGGCGACGAGGAGAAGATGATAACGCAGAGCACCATCTCTTTAAAACGAGGACCCAGCACCACAGGATGGTTGGGAAAAACGAATGAACGACCCAGGCGCGATTCATTCCAGTCGCCAGAGGCCAGGGTGGGGAAGAAAAGGATGAAAGAAAGTCCCCTGAGGAGTCCCAACGCCGACCTGCTCTCAGACCTCAACCGCCGTAAGGCGAGAACGCGGAAACGAACAGCAGCTGGGACAGCTACGTAAACGTGAGGGGGAGTGCCGTTCTCTCCCTTCTTCATGGCGTGCAAGCGAACAACACTGCCGAGCGACTACTGACACTGATGCCCAGACCCACCATGACTGTCCCCCAAGCAGCAGGATGAGGGGCGCCCGCGGCTTCTCAAGCGTCGGTGCCTACGGCTGCCGCGGGCCGCCGGAGTGATCAGTAGTGCATTCGGGCCTTGGGTATGCAGACGTAACGGTCTGGACGCCGCCACAAAAGAAGGAGGGGGAGGAGGAGGCGGAGGCGGAGGAGGAGGAGGAGGAGGAGGAGGAGGAGGAGGAGGAGGAGGAGGAGGAGGGAGGGGAGGAGGGAAGGGGGGAGGAGGAGGAGGAGAGGAGGAGGAGGGGAGGAGGAGGAGGAGGAGGAGGAGGAGGAGGAGGAGGAGGAGGAGGAGGAAGGGGAGGAGGGGGAGGGGGAGGAAGAGGAGGAGGAGGAAAGGGAGAGGACTGCTCTGAGCCCTTGCGCAGCTCATGTCCGATCAACGCCACAGGAGGAGGAGAGGACCATCCCCCCGAGCAGCACGGGCGGCGGAGAGCAGCGGCGGGCAGCCGTCCTCGGCGTGGCCACGGACACCACCTGCCCCCTGGCTGTCCGGGGGCTCGGAGCGCCGCCAGTGTGCAGGTGGTTGCCTCGGAGACGCCCCGCCCCTCGTCCCTGCCCCCTCCTTCCTCCTCCCTTTTCTGCAGGGGAACTGGAACACACAAATAAATACACACAAATAAAAATATCCCTCATATTTTCCCATATTTTCTGGGTTTCTGTCTTCCCCCCCACTTCCCATATTTTCCCATATTTTCTGGTAATCGCCGATTAATTGTGTCTGTGTGTTTTTTCCCCTCCTGATTTTCCCCTCTCCCCTCTTCCGATCCTTCCCCCCTTCTGCCTTTTGCGAGTCTGGAGCGCGCAGCGCCAGGCCATCACTCCCATGGGTAGCGGTCTGGCCACAGACGAGGATGGGAAGTCGTGCATGAGTTCGTCTTCCTGCGCCTATGGTTGTGAGTCTTGCAGATCAGATTGCGCAGACATAGCAGGACATCGTCACGCGCAATGGATCAAGCGGTCAGCGTAGCCACTGGCGTTGAAATAAAGATACCCCCCATCCTCGTCATAAACGTGTGTCAATGCATGCCGCGCTCGTTAACTGTTCCCCAAATCCAGGCAGCTCCAAACACGTCGGCCCACGAGTGCCACCATCGGAATGGCGTTTGAAAGTGTCATATCGTGGACTGGAGCCAGGCTGGAGGAACAGATCAGTGCCAGCTTCCCCACATATCCATCACACGATCAGCCAACGAATCAGCAATCGGTTGCTCCTCTCGCGGCGACGCCACACGACTGGGTCTACAGCCTGCGCGATCGGCATCCACAGCTGTCTAAGACACCAAACTTGTTTTGGTCGGTCTGTTCGGATGGCCTCCTCCTCTCCTCCTCCTCCTCCTCCTCCTCCTCCTCCTCCTCCTCCTCCTCCTCCTCCTCCCTCAGGGGGCGCGTCCGCTCGTGGTGTTGCTGAACGGTCTACAGTCCACACCGAAAGTGAAACAGCTGGTTGGCCACCACACCGTGGGGGATCCACAGATCTCGCCACGTCGGTGTGGACGGCCATCGAGATCGTGGTTGTCCGACGTTGCGCGCTTGCCCCGCGGCTGCTGAGGCCGCGCGGGATCGTCTGGAAATCGTGGAGCAAGTGGATCCCGCTGGAGGCAATCAGCGTCAAGAGATGGAGGAAGCAATGCCGCCCATGCTGAAGAATCTACACTCGAATCCGCCGACCCTGCCGGCGTGTGTGAGGGGCTTGTCCGTTCGAATCGTCGTCCCCGTCGTTCGTTAATCGTCGTCTCTGTCGTCCCCTTTCTCTGCGCTCCCCCATTCCCTTGGCCCGTCGCCGCTGCCACGCCTTTCCCTGGGCCCTCCTCTTAAAAACGCTGGGCCCGTCGCCGCTCCCCCCCCCTTCCCTAGGCCCTCCTCCTCAAACGCGGTAGCCAAAGCGAAATTGACCAACGTCGTAATTGACTCGAAGGGAAGCCCCTTCCCTGTGATCCCTCCACCGCCGGGAGGGGGGGCTAGGAGGGTCCCGGGGGGCGTCTTTCCCAAATCAAACGAATCTTCCCAAACCAAACCTTCTGGTAGGGTGACCCGGGGCTTGGTTTAGGAACACCTGGTTGGTTTGGGAAGACCTGGTTCGCCTGTGAAGGCCCGGGGGTTTGGTTTGGGAAGACCCAAATGGTTTGGGAAAACCTGGTTGGTTTGGGAAGAAACGCTTGGTTTGGGAAGACCCGATTGGTTTGACCCACTTGGTTTGGGAAGACCCGGTTGGTTTGGGAGGACCCTGGGGCTTGGCTTTTGGATGCGGTTTGTCTGGGAAGACCTGGGGGCTTGGATTAGCAAAACCCGCTTGGTTTAGGAAAACGCGGTTTGATTCGAAAGACCCGGGGGCTCGGTTAGGCAAGACCCGCTTGGTTCGGGCGGGACCAGAAGCGAAACGAAGGCGATAACGAAGGCGGGAACGAGAACGGAAACAAGGGCCAAACGAAGGCGCAACGCAAGCGAGAACAAGGCGAGAACGTGAGCGGAAACCAAAGCGAAACGAAAACGAAACGAATGCGAGAACGAAGACGGGAACGAAAACGAATCGAAGGCGAAACGAAGGCGAGACGAAAGCGGGAAACGAGGGCGGATACAAAGACGAACGAAGACGAAACGACGGCGAGAACAAAGGCGTGAACGAGGGTGGAAACGAAAGAAAAACGAAGACGAAACGAAGGCGATAACGAAAGCGAACACGAGATCGGAAACTAAGGCGAAACGAAAGCGAGACGAAGGCGAACACAAAGGCAGAACGAGACGGAAGCAAAAACGAAACGAAGGCGAGAACGAAGGCGAGAACAAGAGCGGACACGAGGGCGGAACGAAACGAAACGAAAGCGAAAACGAAGGCGAGAACGATAGCGGAAACGAAGGCGCAGAAAACGGCACGACGGCGAAAACGAATGCGAGAACGAGGGCGGAAACGAAAGCGGAACTCGGGCGTGGGAAGCCCAAGGCGAGGAGCAATTGATGAGACAGTTCCAACAATTGTTGATTATCCTCGGGCTCCTCGTAAAGATGGCTTGCCACCCGCGCGTGAACAAAAAAAATACGAATGCGAGGAATGAGTGAATGGATGACGCGATCACCGAAGCGGCGACTGAACGTGCAAATGATTCCAATCGCGTCAACGTCGGCACTGGTTTCTGACAACGCGTGGTTCTGCCATTGCGGAATGCCAGATTGTTCCACTGGCCATTGTGAACCTTGAGCGCCTGGGCTGCGGTCACTGCCCCGCCGACGCTCCTCAACTTCCGGGCGGAGCGGGGGAGTGGCAGAGTCTCCCCCCCACCAGAACGGCAACGATGGCGGAGACGAGAGCGACAATGAAGGCGCGAAGGAGAACGGAAACGAGGGCGGAAACGAGAACGAGAACAGGCGCGAGTGGGGTCGGGCGGGCGGGACACGCAAGCATAATGCATCACCGAGCTGGCGCGACTGCAGCCGAACGGGCGGGTCGGTCGGGCGGGCGAGTCGAGTCTGGCGGGCGGACCCTGGCGGGCAAGTCAGGTCGGGCAGGCGGACCCTAACGGGCGGGTCGGGTCGGGCGGGCGGGACATTAAAGTACCATGCGTCATCGAATTGGCACACGTGTACACTAACGGACGGGTCGGTCGGGGGGGCGGGTCGGGTCGGGCGGGCGGACCCCGACGGGCCGATCAGATCGAGCGGGCGGAACACTAAAATATGATGCGTCATCGAATTGGCACGCGTGCGCCCGGTTTCTGGGGGCCCTCAGACAGCCCCGGGACCGTCAACAAAAACGACTCGGGGCGAAAAACCGGGGTCCAGACCCCTGGGTGCCCGCGTCGCCAGGAAAGCAGCACTGGATGTCTGGGTTCCGGAGGTGCGCCTTCACCCTAAATTCGAAAAGGAATCCACTCGTGACGACGACGACGACGGCGACGACGACGACGACGACGTCGAGGACGACGACGACGACGGCGACAATGACGACTGCGACGACGGCGACGACGACGTCGACGTCGACGACGGCGGCGACCACGACGGCGTCGACGACGGCGACGACGGCGACGACGAAGATGACGGCGACGACGGTGACGACAACGACGACGACGTCGACGACGACGAAGGCGGGAACGAGTTCGGAAGCCAGAGCGAAACGAAAACGATACGAAAACGAGACCAAAGGCGAGAAGGAAACGAAAACTAGAGCGAAACGAAAGCGAAACGAAGGTGAGCACGAAGGCGCGAGAACGAGGGCGGAAATGAGAGCAACACGAAGGCGAACAGCGAAGGCGAGAACGCAGGCGAGAGCGAAAGCGGAAACGAGGGCGAAACGAAAGCGAGAACGAATGCGAGAACGACGGCGGAAACGAAGGCGAAACGAAAGAGAGAACGAAGGAAGGAACGAGGGCGGAAACGAGGGCGAAACGAAAGCGAAAACGAAGGCGAGAACAAAGGCAAGAACGAGCGCGGAAACGAGGGCGAAACGATAGCGAAACGAAGTCGAGCACGAAGGTGCAAGGACGAGGGCGGAAACGAGGGCAACACGAAGGCGAAGCGAAGGCGAGAACGAAGGCGAGGGCGAGAGCGGAAACGAGAGCGAAACGAAAGGGAAAACGAAGGCGAGAACGAGGGCGGAAACGAAGGCGAAACGAAAGCGAGAACGAAGGAGGGAACGCGGGCGGAAACGAGGGCGAAACGAAAGCTAAAGGAAGGCGAAAACGAAGGCGGGAACGGGACGGAAACGGTGCGAAACGAAGGCGAAACAAAGGCGATACATATTGCGGAAACGAGGGCGAAACGCAGGCGAGAAAGGCAAGACCGAGCGCGGAAAGGAGGGCGAAAAGAAAGCGAAACGAAGGCGAGAACGAAGGCGGGAACGAGGGCGGAAACGAGGACAGAAACGAAAGAGAAACTAAAACGAGAATTAGGCGAGAAGACCCGGGGGAATGGTGTGGGAAGACCTTGTGGTTTGGGAAGACCCAGGGGGCTGGTTTATGAAGACCCAATTGGTTTGGGCAGACCCGGGGGGTTGGTTTGGGAAGACCCGTTTGGTTTGGGAAAACCCAAACGGTTGGTTTGGGAAGACCCGCTTGGTTTGGGAAGATCCGGACGGTTGGTTTGGGACGACCTGGCGGTCTGGTTCCGCAACATCTGGTTTGGGAAGACCCGTTTGGTTTGGGAGAACCCTGCCTCGGGGGGTCCTGGGTCCAGTGCTGGAGGGTTTCCTGGGGGGCCCCGGTCAGATACGACTCCCCCCCAGGAGTTCCCGGGCCCAAAAAAGCGCCAAGAAGGGCCAAGAGTGCCCCGAATCGCCGAACGATCTGCCCAAGACGCCTTGACGGCCTCCAGACGGCCCAAGGGCCCTACAAGACGCCCCAAGAGGCCTCCAGGAGCACTCCCAAGGGGGCCCCAAAAGGAAGAATCACTGATTCCCCATTGGCTTTTGAAACATTTCGGCGTTCTCGCCTCTTCCGCTTCCCGACGCTCCAAGACGACCCAAGAGGCCCCCCAGATCGCCCCAATACAACCCAAGAGGGCTCCATGAGGGATCCAAAACGGCCCAAGAGGGCCCCAAGACGGCCCAAGACGCCTCCAAGACGGCCCAAGAGGCCCACAAGATGGCTCCAAGAGGGTGCCCAGACGATGGACCAGAACGGACATTTCGAGCCCTCGGCCCCGAGAGGCTCCCAGGAGGAACCAAGAGGCCCCCAAGAGGCACTCAAGAGGCCCCAAGAGGCCCCCAAGAGGCCCCAGGAAGCCCCGAGAGGCCCCCAAGAGGCTCACAAGATGCCCCTAAACTGTCCCCCAGAGGCCCCCGAGAGCACTTCGAAGAGACCCCACGAAGCATCCATGAGGACTCTGACTCACATCAGCGTCGTCGTCGTTGCCGCCGCCGTTGTCGTCGTTCGCCGTCAGGGTCGGCGGCACTGGCAGTAAGGCCGTCGCAAACTCATGAGGAAAGCAACTGCGCCCCAAAAGCGATGCAAAACACATCCTCCTTTTCCGTCTGGAAGCCCATACCTGCGTGCACCAGTCCCTACGCGCGACGGTGTTTCTCTGAAGAGGATTGCGCCGCCTGCCAAGAGGGTCGGTCTCTGAAGCGCCGGGAGGGAGCCTGGTGGCTGATGATAACCTATTTGAAACTATGCATCTCTCCGTGCCTGACCGAAGACATTTGGCATAACTCGGCGATGTATTGGATGCAAATGACATTTACCAAACCGAGGTGAACTGTACCGCGAGGTTCTTCTGTTGTAGGCCATGCGCCCTCCATCTGAAGAGCGTCGTGGCCGAAATGGTTCCTGTAAGGGAAGGAATTTCAAGCGACGCAACCACATCTACAAATTCTTCGACGTGTGCCACGTATACAGGCCTCCCGAACAGGACTTGATTAGATGGGGTTGGATGATCGCGCCGCATCGGCGATGCATCACCGATGCATCGGCGACGTCGGCGTGGAAGAATTGGGCTCCGCCTCGAGACGCATCGCCGATGCATCGGCGACGCGGCGCGATGCTTCGACCCCATCTGGAGGGGCCTAGACAATACCAGAACAATACGTCGCAGACGCAGCCTGGGCAGCGAACCGTGCACGAAGCGTATATTGTACGGGAGCTGGCCCAGAAAGCTCCCTGGCCCTTCCAACAAATATGGCTCTTCCTGGCCGAGGCGGTGCTCGAAGCCGACCTCCCTGCCACCACGCGGTCAGGAAGGGCGCCCCAAACGAGCACGCGGCCGAAACCTGCAACGGATACGTATACGCCATCGACGACAAACAGTGGAGCAGATCGGCATGCGGTGTGTGTGTGTGTGTGTGTGTGCAGTATCCCCGCTGCCCCGCGCGGCCATCAGGTGCCACGGACATCCTGCAAGAGGAAATGGTGAGTCATACTCTCCATCCATCTTCGAGGGTCTTCTAAGTTGTCTCAGGGCTTCAGGGGGTCCCCGGGGCCGTCGTGGGATGGGAGATTTCCAGAGGGCACGCGCTGGCAGACTGGTCTCTTATTTGAGGCGCCTATGTAGTGCAGCGGCGGGCAGCGGCGGCGCCAGCCGCCCTCGGAATGGCGATCCGAGGGAGCATAATCGTCGAACCCCTCTTGGGTGCTCCGGATACCCTTCTCGGCCCTACGGATGCTCCTGGGCACCCTCCGGCGGCCTCCAGGGCCGGCGGCCTGATCGGGCACCGATCGGCGAGCCCTCGACCTGATCAGGCACCGATCGGCGGAGAGAAAAGGGGCCCTCTGAGGCGGCCGCGCCACGATGGCGATCCCAGAAGGGGCACGCTGGCGCTGCGGGCCGGTCTTTGCCTCTCCTCTGCGCACAGACACGGACACCTCAGCACCAGTTCGCCGACCCAAGGCGCCCCGCCTCCCTGAGACGAGGCCAGGACAGGGACAAAATCGGACAGGGTCAATTCGTAGATCTCTGAGATCCGGCGGCTGCAGGGGACGTATCGGGCGCCGCGGCCCTTCCAGAGCGCCCCCAGAAGGCTCGGAGAGCGCTTTCTGGAAGGTTCTGGAACGACGTGGTCTGTCCTGGCCCCGCCCCACCCCGCTCTCTCCGTTCCCATCCCGCAGGCCCCAGAAGCCTGGTGCCAGGGGGGCGAGGACGGGACGGGGTGGCCCATGTGTTGCTGGGTTGCTGGGTGTGTGTTTCCACCACCACCACCACCATACGTTGGAGGGGGGGTCCTCCTCCTCCTCCTCCTCCTCCTCCTCCTCCTCCTCCTCCTCCTCCTCCTCCTCCTCCTCTGCGTCCTCCTCCTGGTGCCCAGGGGGGTGGGGGCGGGGCGGGGAGGGCGGGCTCGCACCGCGCAGGCCTTTTCACAAGCCGTCCAGAACTACAGTCATCGGCCTGACCGAAGGAACGGTAAATCAGGAACGAAGCCTCTTTTCTCCAGGGAATAACGCATAAGGAACGATACATAATACATCATGCATAAGGAACGATACATGGAACGACCGAGCCCCTTTTGAAAAGTAAGCGTTCCTTATTCAAGCCGCTCACTGTAGCCTGCTGTGCCAAGAAGGCCCCCCGAAGAGTTCCAGGCGGCCCTCCGCCAGACGGCCCAGGATGGCCCCTGTTGGCTCCCGGAGTGCTTCCAGGAGCCAGAAGATGGTGCCAAAAGTGGCCGCAGGAGGCTCGGGAAGCT